ATTTGTTTTCCTACTCCTTTTTTTCTATTTCTATCTCTTTCTATCCTCCATTAGCTCTAACTTACTCCTTCTGAGTGCCTAAGTGTTTATGTTTGTGTGTGTGTGAAAGAGTAAATATTCCTTTCATTTTCGCCGTAAATAAAAGAAAATTTTTCAATTTACAAATGAGCTTGAGCATACCTTGAAGTTTCCGTTTTTCTTTTCTACTTCCCTTTTTTACATTTGTGTCTCTGTCTCTGTGTGTGTGTGTGTTTTATTTAGTGTTTATATGTTTTCTTGTAAATTTATATTAAAAAAGCCTTTTTTTGGGAAAAAACATATTGTATTTTATTATTTGAAATACAAAAAATCTTATCATTTAATGTTGTAATTTTTATTTTCGTTTTTTTTTTTCTCTCTCTCTCTAAGAATGCTTGCAGTGTTGTGTAATTAAATTCAATGTGTTTTTCTTTTCTCTAACTTTATTAAATGAAAATGTAATAAATTTTTATCATTAAATATATTTAAGAATTATATTTTCTAATGAAAAAAAAAAAAAATACAAAATTTATTTCTTCAAAAAAAAGGAGAGGACCCTTTTTGTCATAAAAATGTTTTAATTTCCACGTTGTTATTGTCATTTCTTTTCTGTAACAAATAATGCAATTTTATAATTTCTATTTTATTGTCAAAAGAGGAAAACGTAAAAATGTTTGTAGTTAATTAAAATTTTTATATTACATTTAATTCATTTACCAAGATTTGATGACATTTTTAGAGCTGTAACAAGTCAAAGACAAAATAAATACTAAAAGCTTGCAATATATAAAAAGATTTAACTTTTAATATAAGAAAGTTTTCCATATTTAATGTATAAATTCTTTAAAAAGTCTATTGTTTTCAAAATAAAAGTTTAACAAAGCTTTTATTCTGAAGAATACTTCGCTATCCTTATTAAAAGCTTTAATTTTGGCTTTTTGGATTAACTTGCTAATTAAGTTAAAGAAATAATCAATATTTTAAGCATCCTATAATAAAAGCTTTCAGTATAAAATCAATTTTAATGAAAAACGTTTCTAACGCTTTTCACAAACCATTAGCAAGAAAGGCTTTATTTAAAATATTTGCCTAAAGAAAGCTTATAAAAACTTAAAAAAGCTTTTTTAAAATATACCTTTTAATTTCAAATTTGCATATTATAAAGTTTTCTTAATGTATTTTTAAGCTTACAAAATCAATTTCAACTAAATAAATAACCAACTTTTTTAAGCTTTTTCTATAAAAAGCTTTCAATGAAAAGTTTTAACATCGAATTTGAATTGAAATTAATTTCAATAAGCCTGCAAAACTACTTCAACTAAATAAAATAACACTTAACTTTTAAGCATTAACTTAAAAGCTTTAGATAGAAAACTTTTTTAAAAGACTTATTTATAGTGTAAAAGAAAGAACTATTTATAGTGTAAAGTGTAAAAAGCTTCTAATAAAAAGGATTTTAAATTAAAAATGCAACAGTAAACATTCTAAAAGCTTTAATAAAGTTTTTTTTTTTCTAGTTTAAAGCTTTTTATAACACGTTTCTTTTAAGAAAAATTACTAAAATTCCATTAATGTTGATTATAGAACAATGATTTTTTAAATTTTTGTAACAATTTATAAATAAATAATTTTCTAAATTATTTGTTAAAATATCCTACAAACATTTTTACCTTCTAAGCTTTATATAATTTTCAATTTTATTAATTTTTCATTTTAAGTGCATTTTTTAGCTTTAGAATTTCTATAATTTATACAAATTTTGCATTAAAATAACAATTAATTATTTTGATTCTTTTGTTGTTGTTTAAATATTTAACACAAAAACAAATACTTATCAAAAAAAAAAAAAAAACAATAAATTTTGTTTAGAAAATGAACGTGTTTTTTAAGTTTTTTTTTTCATTTTATTTTAAAATTAATTAAAAATTTATATTGAACCTAAAAAAAAAACAAAAACATAAATAAATCTGTAGAATTTCATGACAAAAATTTCTACAAATTAATTAAATAAAACAATAAACGAATGAAATATGAACCAAAGCCAAATGAAAACAATAATAAAACAAACAAAAATTAGCCACAACCATAAAAAAATTTAACAAATAAATTGTTTATAACACTTCAACGCAAACAATATCTTTCAGCTTTAAACAAATTATTTAAATGTTTTACATTTTTATGGCGTAAGTTTTTGGTACTTGTCGTTGTAAAATAGTATAAAATAAAAAAAAATATATAATTAAAAGTATAGAGAAAACAAATCTAAATCTAAATCAATAGTGTAAATAAAATGCCAATGACATTTGGCGTCATGAGTTGAGTACCCAGCGCTCAACACAGTGATAAATATCGATAAATTTGATACGATTATTGGATTTTATGTTCAATAATGATTTTATACGCTCGTTTTACAAAATGCGTGGTCGGACGGTTTAGTCGGTCGTTTGGTTTTGTTGGTTGTTGGTGTATTTATTTTAAAAATTCGTGTTTATTCATGTTGAAAGTTATTTTACATTGGAGGAAGTATCCCCTTAGGAGATTGTATAGTTTGCATGAAAGCACTGAGAAGTCTTAATATTTATATAAAAGCTTTAATTTTAAACGCATACTTAAGCTTTTTATTAGTTTTCTTTCAAAGCTTTAGTCATATATTCAAGTTTTATTCTGATACTAAAGTTTTATTCTTATGCATAAGCTGGATATACATAAGCTGGATAAAGCTTTAGTAGTCTTAATCCACAACTTAAACTTTATAAAAAAGTTTTTCTAGTTCAGTTCTAGTTTAGTTCTAGTTCAGTTCCAGTTCTAGTTCAGTTCTAGTTCAGTTCTAGTTCAGTTCTAGTTCAGTTCTAGTTCAGTTCTAGTTCAGTTCTAGTTCTAGTTCAGTTCTAGTTCAGTTCTAGTTCAGTTCTAGTTCAGTTCTAGTTCAGTTCTAGTTCAGTTCTAGTTCAGTTCTAGTTCAGTTCTAGTTCAGTTCTAGTTCAGTTCTAGTTCAGTTCTAGTTCAGTTCTAGTTCAGTTCTAGTTCAGTTCTAGTTCAGTTCTAGTTCAGTTCTAGTTCAGTTCTAGTTCAGTTCTAGTTCAGTTCTAGTTCAGTTCTAGTTCAGTTCTAGTTCAGTTCTAGTTCAGTTCTAGTTCAGTTCTAGTTCAGTTCTAGTTCAGTTCAGTTCTAGTTCAGTTCTAGTTCAGTTCTAGTTCAGTTCTAGTTCAGTTCTAGTTCAGTTCTAGTTCAGTTCTAGTTCAGTTCTAGTTCAGTTCTAGTTCAGTTCTAGTTCAGTTCTAGTTCAGTTCTAGTTCAGTTCTAGTTCAGTTCTAGTTTTCTAGTTCAGTTCTAGTTCAGTTCTAGTTCAGTTCTAGTTCAGTTCTAGTTCAGTTCTAGTTCAGTTCTAGTTCAGTTCTAGTTCTAGTTCAGTTCTAGTTCTAGTTCAGTTCTAGTTCAGTTCTAGTTCAGTTCTAGTTCAGTTCTAGTTCAGTTCTAGTTCAGTTCTAGTTCAGTTCTAGTTCAGTTCTAGTTCAGTTCTAGTTCAGTTCTAGTTCAGTTCTAGTTCAGTTCTAGTTCAGTTCTAGTTCAGTTCTAGTTCAGTTCTAGTTCAGTTCTAGTTCAGTTCTAGTTCAGTTCTAGTTCAGTTCTAGTTCAGTTCTAGTTCAGTTCTAGTTCAGTTCTAGTTCAGTTCTAGTTCAGTTCTAGTTCAGTTCTAGTTCAGTTCTAGTTCAGTTCTAGTTCAGTTCTAGTTCAGTTCTAGTTCAGTTCTAGTTCAGTTCTAGTTCAGTTCTAGTTCAGTTCTAGTTCAGTTCTAGTTCAGTTCTAGTTCAGTTCTAGTTCAGTTCTAGTTCAGTTTCTAGTTCAGTTCTAGTTCAGTTCTAGTTCAGTTCTAGTTCAGTTCTAGTTCAGTTCTAGTTCAGTTCTAGTTCAGTTCTAGTTCAGTTCTAGTTCAGTTCTAGTTCAGTTCTAGTTCAGTTCTAGTTCAGTTCTAGTTCAGTTCTAGTTCAGTTCTAGTTCAGTTCTAGTTCAGTTCCAGTTCAGTTCTATTTCAGTTCTAGTTAAGTACTAGTTCTGTTATAGTTCGATTCTAGTTTAGTTTACTGCCCCATTCTCCTCGTTAAAATCAAAATATCTATATGCTCTCCTTGGGCAGCCTTCCCTTATTAAAAACTCAATGTAACCCCTCTCACTCCATCACTCAAACAAAACAAAATCGTGTTTGGCTTCAGTTCAATCCAGTTCATTCATTTATTGTTTATTTAAATTATATTTTGATTAAACAAAATATGTAAAAGTAAAATAAAAAAACAAAATTGTTATATTTATTTTTGTTGTAACTTATGTATTTATTTTAATTTTTTTTTTTTTTTTTTTTTTTTTGTTCAATACTCGTTATGCGAGAACACAAAAGTATAAATTTCAAAAATATACATAATTTCATTTTTACTACAATAAACTTTTTACAGAAAAATAAATAATAAACAGAAATTGTTGTTTGATTTATTTATTAGTTTCTATTTTTAATAATATTTTTTATTATTGTATTTCTGTTTATTTGTTTTAGTTATTAGTTCTTTATTACTTTTATGTTTTTTTCCAACTATTTTTCATTTATATAAATATTTATCTGGTATTTATGATTCAAAGTAGAAGTAAAAGAGTTTCTAGTTTCCTTATCTTAATTAAACAAGAAGAAAAATGAAGTTTGTTGCCCTTTTTAATAAAAGTTGGTAGAAAATCTATTTAGTTTTAACCATCAATCAACGAAAAGAAATAGGGGAAGTGTGTTTTTTTCTTTCAATATTAAATTTCAATGAACTCTTTAATAACTAGAAAGGAAGTGAATCATAAAATAATTATATAAAAATAAATGAAAAATAGTTACTTTTTTATTTGTTATTTATTACTTAATTTTAATTAATTCAAATGAAATCTTTCTTTGAAAAATGTGCATTAATCTATTTTCATTTATTTCTTCGTGTTTGCTTAAAAATCTTTATGTCCCCCAGACTTTTGCAAGGGTCGTGAAACGTTACAGAATCTATGTGATCAAATACCGGGAGATGCTTTGCTTTATTCTTTATTTAGAGAGAGCGCCGAACCAGTTAAATGTCCTCTAAAAGGTAAACATTAATCCCTCCAGTCTTTCGCTTTAAAATAAAACTTTCAACTTATCTTCTCACGTACAATTTCTAGGTCCCTTTATCTTCACTTATAATCGAGGCAATGGCGAATGTAAAAGTCCTGTTTCCAATATTGAAAGCTGCACCGAAGACAGTCGTTTGTTATTAAGTTTTCAGGCCTGTCCAGATGTAGTGGGGACAGAAAGTACTGGTAGGTTAAGAACCTTAGTTAATACTTTATAAATCCAAACATGAATTTGTTATTAATTTTATGATATTTTTCTAGTGGAGGAACTAACTTGTCTGGCTACTTGGAAAGATGGTAATTCACGTTATCTGGTGGGTTTAGTATCACATCATCACGCCATATCAAATGAGGAGCGTTATCGTTGCTTTGTCTATGAGAAAATATCTTCCTTAATGGGTTAGTTTTTTTCGAAATTTGTATACCCAAGGGTCCAGTTTTCTAATGCGGCTTCCTTTCTTTTACAGATCTTGGTCACTATGCTGGACCCAGTGTGTCGACGTCAAAAGATGCCGAATACAAATTGGCACAATCGGGAGATGCTACATGTAATGGACTGGATAGTGCAGAGGTGAGTTAAAATCAAGTTTTACCGGATCTATATAATAACAATATGTTGGAACTTGTTCCAAAATATTGATTGTGTCCATGATTGTGCAAATGTTTTACTAATTTCTTTACATTTTAGGTGGGTTCACGTATAATGTCTTTGCGTAAACCGCCCATCACGGAAAGATGTGATTTTCCGGTCTGGTTTAAAGGTCCCCGACATTGGCATGTATTAATGGGAAATGCAGTCTACAATTATCATACAAAGTAAGATTTTGAAAAATATATCTTGATTCACTTATTGACTTCTTAAATATCCCAATAAATAGTGATGGTTCCATTCACATAATCAAACCCAATGGCTATATGGAAACTCGAGCCTTGTGTGAACAAATCAATAAACAAACCTCAACGGAAATGATGTCGGTAGTACATTATACCACAGGCTGGTGAGTTATTATTTATTCGCAAAAATAATTTCAAAATGAAATATTAATGTTCTTAAAATATTTCCAGTCAATCGGGTTTTATGTGCATGATGTTCTATAGACGTGATACTCATGTCATTGAAATACAAACGGGTAAACCTGCCTCTAGGCTAGAGGATGCTTGTGCTCCAGATCATTTTGATATCAATAAAACTCCCTATATAACTTTACTGGGTAAGTTTTCTTAAGTTTGTAATCATTTGCATTTGAAATTTATGGTTTTCTCTTAACAGCCTCCAATCCTGATCCTCAAATTTGTCCCATGGAGGGCTTATATACTTTAAGAGGTGCCATAGGCCCCCCTTACTTAGCCACCAGACACAAACGTAATCACAACAAGGTGCATGGTCTACACAATCATCATCACCAGTATGAAGGCAATAACGGCAGGGAATATTTACATAAAAGGTAAGATTTTTTTATAATTAATTATTCTTTTTGTTATGTTAATAACATATTTTTTTATTTTTATTTCATTTTACCAACCCGCCCCTACAGACACAGCTCCCTTAGTTTCCGCAATTCACAGCATGATGAAAAGAATGCCTGGCATTCAAATACTCGTGGTCTTCCTGTACGTTCTCGCCGTGATGCTTCTAGCACAGTTACCCCTTTGGCCACCTTAAATTCGAATCAAACTACACAAGAGATTTTGGTGGTGGGCAATAATACAAATGTTGGTTTCGTTCAGAATCCCGTTAGTGATACTCGCCTTAGGAGTAGACGTAATGTTCCTGAATGTGTTACAAACTACAAGGCCCAACGACAATTGTGGGTGGGCTGTACGGAGGCGAATGTTATTGATGTGCGACCAATGTGTAATGAAGAGGGTGATGAAGGTATGTAGGGGATTCAAACGTAGTCATATGACTTCTTCAGGTTGTGAGAAGTTATTTTATAGACTTGGAATTAAACTTAGCGCTGCATTTAATAAATTTCATCGATCTTTTTTAAATTTAATCATTCTGAATAGTCCTTCGCTTTTCAATGCATTCACTTCTTTGTCACTATCCACACCAGGCATGGAAAATTGTAATTTTAAAATAGTACTACTACTATTACAAAAAGAGTACTTTTTAGACTTTATAGACACAGATAATGCTTTAAACTAGAAAAGAGTCTAGATTATAGACTGGACTAAAGACTAGACAATAGAATAGACTTTTGACTAAATTATAGACTAGACTATAGACTAGACTATAGACTAGAGTATAGACTAGACTATAGACTAGACTATAGACTATACTATAGACTAGACTATAGACTAGACTATAGACTAGACTATAGACTAGACTATAGACTAGACTATAGACTAGACTATAGACTAGACTATAGACTAGACTATAGACTAGACTATAGACTAGACTATAGACTAGACTATAGACTAGACTATAGACTAGACTATAGACTAGACTATAGACTTGTCTACTTATAAAAAGTTCAGAAAAAATGACATTTGATGAGTTCTTGTTCTTTCATTTGTCTATCTTAAAAATTATGGTCCTTCGAACCTTTCAAAATTATTGTTTGATAGTTTAATTGCTCTTCAAATCAGTTTTCTATGCTTTCTGGACATTATTTTAAACTTTTAATCCGTAAACAATATTACAAAGATTTTCAGTTTGATTCTATAAAGATCTGGTCTCGCAATATAAAGATTTTAGGATCCTCTTAATAGTGATTATTTAATAACATTTAATTATAAAATAACTTCTATGTATAACAATTTACATTCTGAGAAATTGTCCTTCGAAATGGTCCTTCGAATAGTCGAAAATTCTACTTAATCGTTACCTAATAATTATATTTCTTATTTATCTAAATAGAATATTCCTGTCATGGTTCTTGGTCCGAGAATGGTACTGTCTATATTATTGCCAGACATAAAGGTACTAAACATGGTGTTTGCATCAGCTACCGGCCGACAGAGGGCACGTCCGCGAAACTAGTGGTAGGAGATGCCTGCTATCGAAGAACACAAAAACCACCGGAACATCATTTAGTGGCCAATTTATCAATATTTGGTAAGTAGTGCTAATAACACTTCACTTTTAAAAATTGACATTTCATAGAGTAATTGATTCTAATATTTTTAATTTTCTAGGTAAATGTGGTGAAACCGGTTCCAACTCTCCCACCATGCCCATTATCAGTTGGTTTAATTTACTACTGGCCACCATATTAATAACATTATTCAGTCAATTGCCCATACAAAGATGATTTCGTAACTAAGAAACTCTAAGCTTCAACAAAATCTAGAACTAAGCATTTAACGAATTAAGCTGATAAATAGAGAAGAAAAAAGTTTTCATTCTTTATAAATTAAAAAATAAATTAAAACAGAAAAATTATGTAATTGCAAAAAACTCACATGTTAAAAACACAACAAACCAGAAAAAAAACAATTTTCTTTTAATTTAAGAAAATGCACCTCCAAAATGTTTTTTAATAAAAAAAAGAAAATTTAAAGAAACTAAAATTTAAAAAATTGAAAATTTTAAAATGAGACTAAATAATTAAAAAAATATATTAATAATATTAAACAAGATAAATAAATGTAAATAACTAAAGAAAAAAATTTTGCATTAAAATTTAAAAAAAAAATAAAACAACAAAAAATTGTGTTATTAATTAAAAAAAATAAATATTAAGTTAAAAAAAGCTCTGATTTATGATTTCTTTTTTATAAATAATAAATGTCAATAATTATTAAAATTAATTATAAATTTAAAAACCAAACTAAATGTTGTATACTCCTTTGCCCTAAAACCAAGTGATTGTAAATAATAAATAATTAATTAAAAAAAGAAATTAATAAAAAAAAAAAATAACAATTTCTGCTATTTTGTAAATAAATTGTGTGTTTTCGTTAAATAAACTTAAATAAGAGAAGAAAAAAATAAAACTAAAAGGTTTTGCACAAAACATTAAAATAAATTTAATGAAAAATTATAATTAATAAATTAAAATAAAACTTTGCTGTGTGTGTATTACCATTATCATTTCAATTTTAAGTTTTCTTTTTTTTTATATATATAAAAAAATATTTATAAGATTTGAATTATAAATTTTTGTTTAATTTTTTTATAAAAGAAGAATTATGTAACTAACATTTTTTTATATATATTTATAAGCTTTATATATTCAAAACAGAAAATTATTAAATTATAACACAAAATGTATGCTAAACTTATTTAATTTCTTTTTTTATTATAATTATTAACGTAACAAATTATTATTATTACTATTACATTATTATTTCAATGGAAACATAAAAAAACAAATATTTAATTAAAAAAATAAATAAAACAACAAAAAAAAACACAAACTACATTGCATTGTTATACGATTTGTAAGAAGCTTTAAGCTTATTAATGTCTATTTAAATTTTTTTTAAAAAAGAAGGAAATGAAAAGTATTGAAATTGAATTTAATAGGTTTTGGTAAATTGCTTGTTTTTATTAATTATTTGGCTAACAGTTTTCATATTTCACTTTGGTTCGAAGAACCATTTGGACCATAATATTTATGAAGTTTCTTTTTGAATTTTCCTTAAGTTTCATAGGACCTTCTTTAAAAATGGTCCCTGTTGGAGTTATTTTTCCTTTTGATATAATTTTAAACAGATACATCCTGCTTCTACAATATCTAGCATGAGAGAAATAATATTCGGCATTCGAATACTCAAGTCATATTCTTAAACTCCAATCATTCGAGTGTGACTCAGACCATACCTTAGAGTTCGATCTTTGGAATAATACATAAGTATAATTCATATGGAATCTCTGTATTTGTTGAACTCGAGATTTTCTAAATAATGTAGAAATAAAATTTTCAAAATATGGTCCTTCGAACTTTTTAAGCTTTTAATCGGTATGTATTTTAATGGTTCAATTCAAATTGTAATTGTGTAGTTATTCCTTGTACCAAATCAGTGGACTGATTCAAGAAAATTCTTTCTGCAGTTCTAGTTTAATTCAAAGTTAAGAGGATTTAAGTTGCACATTATATCAAATATTTGCTTGAGTATTTTAGGACCTTAATTCTACTTTTTTGTCTATTGGTTTTGATCAATATTTCTCAGAAAACATTCTAGAGTCTGTCTAAGTTTTATATTAGTCTCTATAGATTCTTGATGTCAATATATTCTTGGGTTTTTCTTAAAACTTTGTGGTCCTATGATGATCTATTGCTTAAATTTTGTGATAGATCTTGCTTGAGCATGAATCGCTTTATAACATCAGCTGCAATAACAAACCTTTAGCTGAATTGTATTTCTTTACTGTATATATTGTGCAGAAAGTCCCTCTATCTTTTAAATTCATGATATTACACCTTCGGCTGGATCAACAATATAGAGATTTCTGGAGTATGTATTTAGAATTCAAATAAGATACTGATATACTTTTGAGAAGCGTTTCCAGATTTAAAAATAGGATATTGTGTTAATCTCACATCAGATATCCCAGGAATCCAAGAAATTATTATTCTGATCATATCATTCAGTTATTTAATATTAATGACTTTTTGACTCAAATTTACTTACTTCTTGATAATCTAATACTAATATATACTTTGTAAAACATAGAAAAAAGTTATCAGGATACTTTTCACATTCCAGGCAATCTATGGTAATATAAATTACCACTAAAGTGCTCCTATGTAATCTACAGTGTAATCAGTTTAGGTGTTTTTATATTTCACACTAAACAACAGTTATTTTGGAAGTGAGAAATCAATTCTTACAAGAATTGTTGTTGTAATACTTCGACTGTTGCCTATAGTTCCTGGAGGAAATACTTTCGAATGATATAGCTGCGCTGTGTCCCTCAGGTGGGTTCGTTGTTAGTGTTCTAGTCTGGTACAACGGAGATCATGGATTCGATTGCCAACAGAGCGCACAACAGACCCAGTGGAAGCCTATTTTTATTTTTTACACTAAACAGCAATTATTGTGATTCGACAGGGTGAGAGTGGAAGTGCGAAATCAATTATATCTCTTTTAAAACTCACAGGAATTGTTATTTTAATACTTCGACTGTTGCCGATAGTTTGCGGAGGAAACACTTTCGAATGTTATAGCTGTCGCTGTGTGCCCTTAGTGGGTTAGTGTTCTAATGGTTAGTGTTCTAGATTGGAGATCGTGGATTCGATTACTATCAGAGCGCACAACAGGCTTGGTGATATAACATGTATCCTCCTTTCAGCTGTCGCTGGATTGACAACCTTTAGCCGAATAAGACTTGGCTAGTTATGAACCTTTGATCAAATTGTGGAAAGAACTCATAGAAATCAAAATAGTTAGTTAAATTGCTAATTATGTAACCAGTTGGGGAGCTTGTGAGCTTTGGACTAGTTACCAAACTACTTTTATTAACTTAAACTCTTTATTTATTTAGCAACCAGTTGCGAACCTGAATATAGATCAAAACGAACATAAGACATGAAATCGTGAGGTCTATTATTTAAACCGGGTACACAGAGGGAAAAAACCGGTCGAAAAGTACCGAAATTGATACTATCAGTTGTCAAAAGTGAGCTTATCACGTTTATTAGAATAAAGACAACGAATGTGTATAAAATTTAAATAACACTCAGTTATCATTTTGACAACCACAGTTATAATTTTGACAACGCATCGTTGTCATTTCCATTACGCTTTGTGTCATTTCGGCTATGCATCTTTGTGATTTTATATTTTTGTTGTTGGTTTGAAAACCATCGGATGACAACGGATGTTATTGAAAGATTATAAACACTTTGGTGTCAATTTGGTACCAGTCGTGTATAATTTTAAAACGTCTTTTTTCTCCTCTGTGCTTTGGCAAATAATGAGAAATAGGTTATCTAACTGTTAATAACTTAACTTACATAAAGCAAAAGAGCGTGTGGGCTTAAGAGAGGGCTCTTTGCCTATAACGGATTTAAACTTTTTATATAATAGGAGACTACTTTCCTTTGAAGTGAAGTTTGAATTTATAAATCGATTTATTAACAATTTTAAAAATTTCTTTCAAAATATAAAGTATTGAAAATTAAGTTATAATTATTTCAATTAATTTCCAATTCAATTTCAAAATGTTTGGCATTTTACAAAATTTAAATGCAAAGACAATACTAAACAAATAAAGAAAAAAAAAATAATTAAAAATAGAAATATGTAAAATGAAAAGTTACTTTACAATTACAATTGAGTTTCTAACAAATACTAAACACACGATATTAGTATAAATGCATTTAGTTTTTATAATTAAGAATATAAAATAAATATTTTTTTACAAATATATTTATGGTTTTTTCTCCCTAATTTATAAATTACAAAAAAACAAACAGCACTTTAATTGAATTGCAACAAAAATATATAATAAAAATGGCACTAAACAAAAAATTATGTAATTATTTTGAAAATGTTTATAATATAAGTTTAACCATATAAAAAAAAATTAATAAAAAAAATCATTGAAAACACTTTTTTATAATTAAATGTACAAAAAACAAGACAACAAATAAGTTTAAATATAAACAAAATTAAACATAAAATAACAAATAAATAATATTTTGCATAGAAAAATTGCATTCATTGGTTTCATATAACAAAAAAAAAACAACAACAACATTAAAAAACACAACAAATTAAAACAAAAAAATATTAAGTATAAATTAAAACACAAAAACAAAAAATGAACTAGTAATTTAATTAAATAAAAAATTAACTTGAAAAGTAAATAAGAAAAAAAAAGACAAACAGAAAATGAAAGAAAAAAACTTAATGTAGTTATAATTAATCTAATTAATTATAAATTAAATGTATTTATAAACATAAAATAAACTAATAAACAAATCTATATATAATAATTATAATAAATAATAATAAATATAAAAACCCTAATTAAGTAGCACTTAAATAAAAAAACATTAATAAATAATAAAAAATTAATAAAAGAGAAAAAAAAAACAACAAAAAGGTATCATTATAAACAATTTTTTTAATTAATATAAATATAAATAAAAGCAAGAAAAAAACAAAACCAACAACAACTCATTGACATTTTTTTCAATTAACAAAAATAGAAATTGAACTAAAAATTAAACAAAAAACATAAAAACCCCATAGACAAACAGACAACATTAAAAAACACAAGTTGTTTAAACAAAATTAAAAAGAAATAGTTTAAACAAACAAAATTAAGAAAAATGCTAAAGAAGCTAAACAAAAACAACATGATTTAAATGTTTTTTTAGAATGTTTAAGGCAATTAAGAGGTGATATAGATCTAGAAACTTGTTTAAAATTATAAATCACAACTTAATCGTACACAAACCTACAGATAAAACATTTA